AGGTCTTCCATGTATGAATATTTGAATAATTTTGGAGAAACAAACAAAAATTCACACATTCTATCCATCATGGTTAATTTGACATGTATCTTCTTTCCAGTTTTCAAAAAAAAAAGGAATAAAAGTTATCCAATAATACTTAGCTGTGTATTGTTTACCACCAGTATACCCACTCAGATATATTTCAATGAATAAGAAACACTGAAGACTTTCCCACATTTGATGATTCCTGATATTCTTTTCACATTTGAGTTTTTGACGCAATCGGTATGAACAACAGTGTGGCATTTCCTGCATTTGTTACATTTAAGAGGTTCATCCCCACTGTAAGGTTACTGATATTCAACAAGGATGGAGAACTGACCAAATGATTTCTCACATTTATTACATTAACAAGCCCTCTTTCTCCATTGTGAGTTCTTCTATGTGAAGTGAGGTGTGAAATAAAGGCTTTACCACATTTCTTACTTTGATAAGGCCGTTCTCCACTGTGAGTTATCATATGTTTAGTGAGGGCTGAGGACTGACTGAAGGCTTTCCCACATTCTTTACACACATAAGGTCTCTCTCCACTGTGAATTCTTATATGAGTAGTAAGGTTTGAAGACTGCCTAAAGCCTTTCCCACATTCTTTACATTGATATGACTTCTCTGCACTGTGAGTCCTTATATGTATAGTGAGGTGTGAGGATTGACTAAAGGCTTTCCCACATTCCTTGCACACATAAGGCTTAACTCCACTGTGAATTCTCATGTGTTCAGTGAGGGATGAAGAACGACTAAAGGCTTTCCCACATTCTTTACATTCATAAGGCCTTTCTCCATTGTGAGTTCTTATATGTGAAGTGAGATGTGAAATAAAGGCTTTACCACGTTTCTTACTTTCATAAGGCCGTTCTCCACTGTGAGTTCTCTTATGTTTAGTGAGGGCTGAGGACTGACTGAAGGCTTTCCCACATTCTTTACACACATAAGGTCTCTCTCCACTGTGAATTCTTATATGTGTAGTAAGGTTTGAAGACTGCCTAAAGCCTTTCCCACATTCTTTACATTGATATGACCTCTCTGCACTATGAGTCCTTATATGTATAGCGAGGTGGGAGGATTGACTAAAAGCTTTCCCACATTCCTTGCATACATAAGGCCTAACTCCACTGTGAGTTCTCATGTGTTCAGTGAGGGATGAAGAACGACTAAAGGCTTTCCCACATTCTTTACATTCATAAGGCCTTTCTCCACTGTGAGTTCTTATGTGAGCAGTGAGTGAGGAAGAATCACTAAAGGTTCTCCCACATTCCTTACATTGATAAGGTCTCTCTCCACTGTGAATTCTTTTATGTGTAGTAAGATGTGAGGAAGAGCTAAAGGCTTTCCCACATTCCTTACATTCATAAGGCCTCACTCCAGTGTGCTTCCTTATGTGGTCAGAGAGGTATGAGGAACGACTAAAGGCTTTTCCACATTCCTTACATGTATAAGGTTTTTCTCCACTGTGAGTTCTTATGTGAGCAGTGAGGTATGAGGAACGACTAAAGGCTTTTCCACATTCCTTACATTGATAAGGCCTATTAATACTGTGAGTTCTTATATGTGGAGTGAGGTGTGAGGAACAACTAAAGGATTTTCCACATTGCTGACAATCATAAGTCCTCTCTCTTATGTGTGTAGTGATTTGTGAGACTTTCCCACATTCTTTACATTCTTGAGGGTTGTAGCTATTATGATCTTTTTCAGATAAAATAAGAAATGAAGGACTATACGTTTTACAACATTCTTTACATTCATGCTTTTGACCTCTAACACATGTCTTACAGGGTGAGTGACTACAGAAATCCTTTTCATACTTGTTATTTTCATTGTGTTTCCCTCCAGTAATTGTTGTCATAGGATCCTGAAGGGTTGAGAGACAAATGCAGTCTTTTCCACATACCTTACAATTATAAGGTTTTTCTTCACTAAGAGTTCTCATCGGAATGCTTAGGTAAGAGGGACCACTGCAGGTTTCTCCACATTCCTGATGAGTACTGTATCCAGTGTAAGATCTAGTATGATTCTTACATGATGAATGTTCTGGGGAGGCTTTTCCATTCTCACTGTATTCAAAAGGATTTACTTCTGGAGGATTTTTTAGCACAGTAAGAGTTGAGGTCTGGCTGAAGACTTTTCCACACTGAGTACCATTACTCTCCTGGAGGCTCTCTACTGTATGCATTCTGTTAAAAATAAACAACATGCAGTTGGAAATAAACCTGTTCTTATGTCACTGTTACCAAATACTAGTGTACATACAAGGTTTTCACCCTGAAATTTTCTCTTTCATATATTAAATCATCTTGCAGAGGCAATACCATTACTGTTAATGATTTTTTAAAATACCAGGCTTTCATGATAATTGTCTACAAGTAAAATATGTTTCAAATACAGTATCAGATTCATATTTAGGAAAGCAATGCATTATAGAATGTCTCTCTTGCAAGATATGACAAAATAACAATTTATAAACTATCAAGGGCTCATGAGGGAGGGGGGAGCAGGGAGGGAGGGGAAAAATGAGGACCTAATGCTGGGGGCTTTAGTGGAGAGGAAATGTTTTGAGAATGATGAGGGCAATGAATGTACAAATGCGCTTTACACAATTGATGTATGTATGGATTGTGATAAGAGTTGTATGAGCCCCTAATAAAATGATAAAACATAAATAAATTTTAAAAAAAAGAATGTCTCTGAATAAATAATTATGGAGCTAAATAAATATTTATATTACTGTCATAGACTTTAGGATTTTCTCCTGAGAAACAATTTTCTCTCATGTGAATAACACTCACCTCAAAAGTCTATCCTGGCTTTTACGCTGATCTTCACTTCCAGGTGGTTTGAAGATTTCTTCTAACATGGAGGGCCAGTTGTTATTGTTCATAAGTTGCACCACTATATGATCACTGGACAAACATTCTCCTTCATTAAGGTTTTGAGACACTGACACAATGTTTCAAAGTGAGGTTCACAACAGGAAACAAAAAGAAATAAATTATTAAGGGAAAACAAAGCTGTTGTGAATAGAGACATGTGCACATACCAAAAAAATTGGCAATGGTTACTAGGATATATTTCCATGGGAATAACAGTGATGGTGACATTATAAAATCTACTTATGAAGATACTGGAAACAATACATAGGGAGCATTGAGAGGAAAACAAAAAGTGTATCTCATGACCAAAGGTGTGTGATGGTTAACAAAGTCAGAAAACTATGCTCAAGTAACTGTGAAGTTGTCTCTTTAGCTGAAGGAAACTTTTTGAGCTGATTGATTTAAAATCTAATTCCTCCCATACAGGGCTGCTCTTACAAAACACTGATTTTGTAGTGCTACCCAAAACAGTGGCCCAGAGTGAGTCCTATCTTTATACTTGTCAGATCATTCCTGTTTATATGGTAGAAGAAATGTGGCTCGTGTACAAATACCTGACAAGTTGCTGAGGAAGAAATGCATGTCATGAGGGGACACAGTCCAGAATAATGGACATTTACTTGACACTATGCCAATACCTGCTTGGTCTTCAGGGTTTCTGAAGCAAAGCTATTGTGAGTATACTTACTGTAACACAATCATGTCAAATTTGTACTAAATAGAGTAAAACTCTACATGGATCCAAATGACAATCAGTGCCTCAAAGAGACCCCAAAAATAATGCTTAAAAGGCTTTCAAACACAAGTAAACTAAAAACTCACCTTCATCCTTTTACATCATGCGTGTTAGAGACTTACTTGTGTCTTCCAAAAGTAGGAATGGTAAATTCTAATCCCTATATCCAGCAGTTATAATCCCATTTGGGAAAGGGACACTACCAGTATACTCTACATTACAGGGGGAAGCGATTATTTCTTGAAATGTAGTCCATCTAGGTCTACACAGTACTGAAGGCAGCTTTGGCATCCTTGAGGTACTCAAATTGTGCTCATTTTAAATGTTCTTTGAGTTTTAGGGAATTAAATTAGTCTGAAGGGGCCAGATCAGGAATGTAGGGTAGAAACAATATGGTTTCCCAAAAAACTCTCAGGACAGGCCTTACCTTCATAAAATGAACAGGGGCATTGTAGTGAAAACATATTCCTATGATTAACATTGACGGCCTTTTTCTCACTAATGTAGTGTTCAATTATCTTAAAACTATTTCATAATAAAGCCCCTATGATCACCCTGTATCTTCTAAGAAAATCTATCAAGATTACCCTGGGATCCCCCAAATAGTTGCATAAGCTTCTGAGCTGACCTCTCTGCCTTGAATTTATGTGACCTAGCAGATCCCCTTAGAGGTCACTGATCTGATTGGATCTTGCTCTCTGAATTATATTAGTAAATCCAAGATGAAACTCCAGTTATAATTTATTGCATAAAATTGTCTTCAGTAGCTCTGATCTTGCTGAAAATACTGATGCTTTTGGCATCCATCACGCCTAAAACTTGCCGAGGCTACAGCATCTCCTTAAAATAGAAAATGTTGAATGATGTCGGATCCTCACTTCAGTAGCTACTGAATCAATGGTAATTCTATGGTCTTATGCCACAGTTTTCTGCACTTGAGCCACCATTTCTTCATACACTCAAAGTGATTGTCTTCCCTCTCTAGGGTCATATGCTTGATCCATCTAAAATCTGTTGCTTTATGTGGAGCAGTATTCCTGTAATCCAAACTTCAGTAATCTGAGAAGATGTTAATTTAATTTTATTTAAAATTTGAATAAGTGCCCTGACTTCAAATATATATATATATTTGAATAATATATATATATATATATTTATTTATTTATTACACAAAAGCACCCTTTGTTTGCAAGATAACTTAATGAGACCAAAACAAGTGTATTCCTTAAAGAATCTGTCTGCAGCCACTGCCAATTGTACAGACACGTTTTGTTTGGAATAAACCCATGCAACATATGAGCTAGAACCCTAGTAACAACACTTTTGATTTTCCCTATTAAAAGAAATTAAACAAGCAACGAAGAAGCAGAAATTATGGAGAGCACCTGTAATTCCGCATGAAGAGCACAGAAGCAACAAGGAACAGATGATGGAGATAAGAATCTTATGGAAAAGCAATCCAGAAAGTCTTGACCTAGCCTAGCATCCTGAATGACTTCTCACCTTTAACACTGTGAAAAAATTAATCTGTTAATCATTTCTGCTATAGAAGCACTGTACATATGAGACAATGGGGAATATAGGATACGTACGTAACAAGGGACCACACCTGTCTTATGTATTCCAATTCCTCAGTCCAAATAAAGGAACAAAGCTGATGAGTAAAATATTGTCTCCTAAAGGTTTAAATAAGTTTATCATTCTTACCTACTGAGGCCAGGTTTCTGAAGGTCTCCATCATCACATCTCTGTAGAGTTTCCTCTGAGTAAGATCCAGCAGTGCCCATTCTTCCAGGGTAAATACCACAGTTACATCCTCAATGACCACTGAGTCCTAAAACATCCCACATATTCCAGATCAGCAAGTGTGTTAGGCTAGGTTGACTAGAGAAACAAATTCAGGGACTCATATATGTGTAAGAGAAAGCTTTATATCAGGAAAACATCCTAGCCCAGCCCACATCAAGTGCATAAGTCCAATACAAGTTTTAAGTCCAAAAATAATTAGAAAATAACAAAGTGTTGATAAGCATGTGAAATAAATAGAACCTTCATTCATTGTGGATGACATGCAAACTGGTACAGCCACTGTAGAAAAGTTTAGTGGTTCCTCAAAAAGTTAATTATAGAACTACATAGTTTAGCAATCCCGCTTCTATGAATATACCTGAATAAATTAAAAGCAGAAAATCAAAAAGTAAAAGTAACCTAAGCTTGCAGTAACAGATGAGTGAATATACAAAGGATGGTATATCCATACAATGGAATATTACTTAGTTATAAGGAGAAAGGAAGTCCTGATACATAATAAAACATGGATAAACGTTGAAAACATGCCAAATAACGTACAAATAAAAGGACAAGCAACGCATGGTCCCATTTACATGAAATAGACAAGTGCACAGAGACTAAAGCTTGTTAGTGGTTGCCAGAGGCAGATAACAGGCAGAAAGGTGGCTGGGAAGTTTCGTGGCACAGAGGTCACTGAGGTCCTGTTACTGGTGGTGAAATAAACTGAAAACAAAACAAGCAAAAACCAACTGCCATAATAGCCTCACAATAGATGATCCATATCAATGTTATCATATTATTCTTGTTTTTAGTTGTCAGTTGCCCTCGAGTTGCTTATGACTCATGTTGATCCTATGTGTGCAGAATAAAACTGCTCCACTCATTTTTCAGGGCTATGATCTTTCAGAAGCAACTTTACAGACCTCTCTTTGAAATTCCAACCTTTTAGCTAGCAGTTAATTAGTTAATGGCTTGCTATTGGTAGGTGTCATGGAGTTGGTTCTGATCCATAGTGGCCCTTTGTACAAAAGAACAAAATATTGCTTGGTCCTGCACCATCCTTAGGGTTGTTCCTATGATTGAGCACATTGCTGCAGTCACTATGTTAATCTACAACATTGAGAGCCTTCCTTTTTTTCACCACCACTCTACTTTACCAAGCATTCCATTCTTGTATCGTATTCTTTTCTTTTGATTCCCTTCTCCAGGGACTGATCTCTCCTGACATGTCCAAAGTACATGAGATGATGGCTTGCCACTCTTGCCTTTAAGACACCCTGACTGCACTTCTTCCAGGACAGATGTGTTTGTCCTTTATGCAGCCCAAGCTACTTTCAATATGCTTCATCAGCATCACAATTCAAATGCACCAAGTCTTCCTTAGTCAATGTCTAACTTTCACATGCAGATGAGGCAAATGTAAATACCAGAGCTTGGGTCAGGAGCACCTTAATCCTCAAAACAATCTCTGCTTCTTTACACTCTAAAGCAGGGGTTCTCAACTTTCCTAGTGCAGCGACCCTTTAATATAGTTCCTCATGTTGTGGTGACCTCCCTATCATAAAATTATTTTCATTGCTACTTCATAACTGTAATTTTGCTACTGTTATGAATCAGGTGACCCCTGTGAAAGGGTTGTTTGACTCCCCAATGGGGTCGAGACCCACAGGCTGAGAACTGCCACTCTAATGAGACCTTGTGCAGCATATTTACCCAATGCAATGTGTCACTTGACCACCTGACTGTTGCTTCCAGGAGCATTGGTCCAAGCAAAATTAAATCTTTGCAACTTCAAACTTATCTGTTTATCATGATGCTAGCTATCGGTCCAGTTGTGAGGATTTTGGTTTTCTTTACATCGAGTTGTAATCCATACTGAAATCCTTGATCTTTATCAGGAAGTGCTTCATGTCTTCCTCACTTTCACAAGCACAATATGCAGATGGCTACTCAGCCTTAATCCCTATATTGCATTCTTCTTCATATTATCCAGTTACTCTGATTCTTTGCTCTCTGATTAGTGGTTTGTATCACCACAAAATTATACATGTAAAAGTTGTTGAATTGGTAAATTTTTTATATTTACTTTTACTAGAATTGAAAAAAAATATTTTAAAAAAGAGTAAAGGAGAGAGAAAGCTGTTTTCAGACCAAAAATATAAGGAAAAAGATTGCTCACCAGGAGAACTTCCTTGCAAGAAATAGTAAAGAAGTTATTCGGAGAGACAGAAAATGATATCAATCAGACATGTGGATCTACATAAGGAAAGTTACAGAAGTGAATACAGGTAATATAAAATTTATTTTTTCTATTCTTAATTCATCTATTAGCTTTACAAATAGCTACATACATTAGGTGATTATAATTTATGGACCAAAAAACAAACTCACTGCCATTGAGAAGATGCCGACTCATAGAGACCATTACAGGATAGTGTCAAGTTGGCCCTATGAGTTTTCATGACTGTACCTCTCTATGGGAGTAGAAATCCCGTCTTTCTCCTTTTCTCCCGTCTTTCTTCCTTGGAGAATTCTAACTGCCGATTTGGAGGCTAGTAGCCCAATGGGTAACCCACTACACACCATCCATGCTCCAGGAGACCTCAGCAACCCTCTATCAGTAACTGACAGATCCAACATGCAGAAGAATCATCAAGGCCATGGTGAACCAACGCCGTCATCTAACAAGTATGCAAGGGGCCTTCAAGACGTTTGTGGTAAAATACCATTATCTTTTAAATTGATTTTCCCACTAGCTTTTGTTACTTTGTATATGTCATGCCAAAACAACACAATGCAAATTCTTTTCATACTTACCAGCAACATTTATCAAACTAGATCCCAACTTGGTTCCCAAACTGCAACTCACCAAATTTAAAGTATTACAAATCAGACCAAAATAGAAATAAACTAGGAACCAATAAATGAAAGCTAGCTAGACTGAGATGAAATAACACACTTCTAAATAACACATGGGACAAATACGTCCTGAGAGAAATTTAAAAATTTTTGAGCTATGTGAAAAAGACAATAGAACTTACCAAAATTTATTGGATGCAGACAAAATCAAACATGCTGAGAAATCTACAGCACTAAAGGTACATATGAGAAAAGAGGACAGATCAAGCATCAATAGCTTGTGATTTATAGGGAAATAGAAACTGAACAAATATAGCCAACGTGTGTGGAAGAAAAGCAGTAGTAAAATCAAGTCAGCAAGCCATGAAAAATGAAAACAAAAAGAAAAATCCCCAGAAAATGAATATAGTCACAAACCAAACAAAACCCTAGTTTTTGGAAAAGCCGAAAGTAACGTGATATACCTCTATCTAGGAAACAAACTCCCAGAAGACATTTTGGTCGACCTTTCCTATTGCAGCTCACCCCCTCCCACTTCTACCCCATACTGCCCTGGGTTTATCTCCTGTTCACCTTCTTGTGAAGTCTCAGGAGTAGAAAGGTAAGATGTTGCTCACTAGAGAGAAAGAGAAGAGGTGTTGAGTGGGGGGTGACCTCTTGGCATTTTTTCCCTGATTGTGCTGGAGCCCAGAGACCTGGGCCAGAAGTATGTGCTACCTACTCAGGTGCCCTCTAGAAATGCCCAGTCCTGCCAGTGGCACCCCCTGCTACATTTCTAGCCCCTGACTCACCCACAGAAGTGTCTGCTCATCTCCATGGTGATGGTAAATATGCTTAGTACCCAGCCAGCAGACAGCATCCTGGCCTGTGTGCCCTCTGTCAGACTACAGAAGTTTTCTGGAATAAAGTCCACAGAGGCCCAGGTATAATCAGCTGGGACCTCAGGTAATGGACTCTTTCCTAAGCACAGAACAAAACACAGAGATAGACCTAGGCCTCTGGTATGAGAGAACAGGTGCTGTGCTGGCAGGGGATTAAAAGTCCAGGACCAAACTGGGATAACTGGTGCAAATGGAATTGAATCTAGGGATGAGAGGTATAGGTGGAGAGTGGCCTTGGTTGTTTTTTTTAAAAAAAAAACATTTCCTTAACACTTTATGAGGTTTTTTATCACATGTACATTCAGGTTTTCCAAAAGACAAAGGATGACCAAAATCTTTCCAACATTAGTGCACATGTATTTTTTTTAAGCCACAGAATCTTCAAAACACTCAGGAAGCGCGCCTCTCATTCTTTACATAGATGAGAGCTCTCTCCACTTCAGGAGGCATGAGAAAGGAATAAGCTTTCTCACACCACTTGATTCACAAGATACTTTTCTATAATATGTGCCTGGAAGGAGGAATAGCAAAGGTTTTTTACACATTTCTTTATACACAAAACCTCTTTGTAGAGTGTTTTCTGTTAAGAAGGGGATGTTGTCTAATGACATGTTTCCCCACATTCCTTACAATTAAAAGATTTCTCTCCATCACATGTAACTTTTCTGTTGAGATGTGGGGACCAACTAAAAGTTTCCACACCATCTTGATTCAGAAAGCCTCTCTCCATAGTGCATTCTTAGTGTTCAGGGATAACTAAGTGTTCTCAAATTCCCATCATTTATAAGGATTTTCTTTTCTGTGGGTTCTTTTCTGTCGAATAAGATTTGAAGGCTGAAAAAAAAAAAAAAGATTTGAAGGCTGAATACAGGCTTTCCCAGGATTTTTACAGACATAAAGTCTCTCTCCACCGTGACATCTTATATGTCTTCTTAGTGCTACAGAATGACTAAGGGCTTTCACACATGTCTAACATCACTGTGTGTTCTTTTTATGTAGAGTGAGGTCTGATGGCAGCCTAAAAGCTTTCCCACATTCTTTACATTCATAGAGAGCTGTCTTTTATGTGACCTGAGGGCCCAGAGCTAGGGTGGTTTCAAGAGCCAACCAGACATAAATGACTAATATCAGAATGAGAGAGAGAGACATGACTATTGAATCTT